TGCAACCTCTGTCCAAATGGCTAAACTCTCAGCCCTGGCCTTGGCTCTACAACTCTTCCCCACGGAAGCATTAAACATTTATACTGATATTCAATATGTTGCTCATATTATCCAACCCTTAGAGACTGCTGTCTATGTCTCTCCCATCTCTAGGATACAAGAGAGTTTATTACAGGTGAAAGGTCTGCTATGGCAATGCAGCGAACCTATGCTTGTGGGACATCTTAGGGCCCACATCCCTTTGCCAGGGCCCCTCATGGAAGAAAAATCACATGGCTGACATGTATGCTCAAATTGGTCTGGTTTTACAAGGACTCACTAAAGCACTATCCTTACATAAGCACTTTCATCTCAGTGCAGGGTCTTTGAGCTTTCATACTGGGATTACCTAAGAACAGGCTGTTCTAATAGTCAAGGATTGCCCTCTTTGTGCAGAATTTCTTCCTGTGCCTCACTTGGGGGTTAATCCTCGAGGACTTTTACCTAAACACATTTGGCAAATAAATGTAACACATGTGTCATCCTTTGGTAAATTACAATTTGTCCATGTTTCTGTAGATACCTTTTCCCACCTGATATTCACCTCTGCCCACTCTGGTTAAAAAGTAAAAGACGTTAAGAGCCACTGTTTACAGGCTTTTGCTTACATGGGGGTCCCAAAACAAATTAAGACCGATAATGGCCCCACCTATGTCAGCAGAGGTTTCAATCATTTTTGTCTAGATTTTGATATCTCCCCCAAAACTAGAATTCCTTACAACCCCCAAGGACAGGCTATCATGGAACGTGCTCATCGCACTTTAAAAGCCTATTTAGTTAAAGTAAAAAAGGAGGATCTTGGGGGCCATCTTGGCTCCCCTCACTCTACTCTATCATTTATTCTCTATATCTTAATTTTTTTAATTGTGTATGCTTCTGACAACTCCACAGCAGATCGCCATTGGTGGCCTGCTGTACAGCAAAAACCTCTAGTTAAATGGAAAGACCTGACCTCAGGTCTTTGGAGCGGACCAGATCCGGTTTTGGTTTGGGCCCGGGGGTCTGTCTGTGTTTTCCCACAAGATGGTGAGTCCCCAATTTGGGTTCCAGAGCGTTGTGTGCACTCTGTTCCTGCTGATACTCATCAGCCACCTATAGAACTTCAAGCCCCTTTCGATTCTAGGTGGTGGCTTTTTATCTAAAATCCCTGCCTGTCCTCATGCTGGCAGGTCTTCAGTGTCAGATAATCAGCCTCAACCATAGCCTAGGAAAGGCAGCCCTCAGGATAGTTTTGCCTGCTTGGATATTTGCTATATTCAATAACACTCCCTCGGGAGAAATGTTTAATTATCTCCTCCAGGAATGCCGCTTGAGAAGCTGTTGATCAGCCTTGGTGGTCCGTGTCCCAGGTGTCATGCCTATTCCAGTGGAACAGTCAGGAGAGAACCAACTCATCCTCACACGACACGGGAGTGACTTTGACATCACAGCGGCTGCAGATTTTGGCTTCCCTATCTCTTAGCCAGTTGCCACGGCAGGCATGCTGGAAAACCCCAGGGGAGGATGCCTCTACCTTAAATTCCCAAATTTATACTAATTACAATTGGGCACTTTAAATCTTAATTAACAAATGGACTTAATTGGCTATTCTAACTGAGATCAGGGTGCCTCCTTTTGGGAGACCCCCCTCTTAACCGGACTGCAACAGACAGGTATATCACTTGAGAAACAGAGTAGGTCACCAGCCCTCGGGATTATGACCCTGGGCAACACAGTCTTTAGCCCTAGTTTGCCATATGGAAAGGCCACAAGCCCAGTGCCATTTTCTTACAAAGCAGATCATGCTTTCTTTGTCAACAGATAACCCCTCAGTGCAGGCCTGGTTGAGCCAGCAAGACAAATGAGTTATCAATGACAGGTACGTCCTGGGGGACATCTACCAACCTAAGACAGAGGGTTTGTGAGGCCTGGACAGACTTCTCATTGACGGATAAGATAGATGTTAATGTCCCGGGCAACCTAAGCCAGATGCTCATTTTTTAAATTATCTATAAAAGGGGGATTTGTTGCACCCTTCCCCCATGGGGGTCTGTTGACTGCTTGTTACTAGAGGCTTTTAGCAAAACATTTCTCATCCCCTCCTCCCAGTAAGGCCTGCATGCAAGTTCCTGTTTTTTGTCTAAAAGCTAATTCCTGTTTTTGGCCCACCCTTTGCTGGAGGGCCCTGGGAAGGTAGGCTTGTGACCTTGGTGTTTTTCCACCATACCTGCCTTTGGTATATAAGGCTCCACTCTTATAATAATAAAGGCCATTCTCCTTGCAAGAATGAGCCGCTGTCTTTGTCTTTGTTTTCATCCTTAGTCCTTAGTCTCGGATCGTTGTGAAGTATGGTAGCACTGTAGCTGCGAACACACTGGCAGCTCGCTACAAACCAACAGCTGTGAGCCGCCGCCTGGATGTTGGAAATCAAACGTGGATCCTCTGGAAGAGCAGGTAGTACCCTTACCTCTGACAAATCTCATCAGCCCTGGGAAGTCATTCTTAAAAGACCCCTGCTAAGAGAGCAGCAGTGAAATCTAGAGGCAAACATTCCCTCCCTGCACAGCAAGTGTCATGGGGCCTAGTCTGCAGGATACCACTAGGTAGAGAGAAAATCTTTTAATGAGAGCCAAGCAGTCTTACAAAAGATGCAGATCCCACCTGAACTGTGGACTGGGACAGACCAAGCAGAGATATGCCCACAACCCCAAACCCACACGAGGGACTGCACAGAGACGGCCTCACACCTGCACCCAAGCCAGAGGTTACACGCACATGCCACACTACTTCTGTTTCTTTGCTCTTCAACAATCACTGTCATTGGAGAGGTGACAGTTTTTAATTGGCTTACACTGTACTTTCATAGGGGCATTTCCTATTAGCTGTAATACCAGCTCTGTGGGAGGCAGAGGGAGGGACCACAAGTTCAAAGCTTATCTGGACTTACAGAAGCTTAAGACAAGCTTAAGCAACTTTCTGGAATCCTATCTCAGAAGCTGAAAGTACAAAAGAGGAGAGGGCTGTACATGGCTGAGTACAGAGTGCTTGCTTAGTGTGTATGTTCTGAGTTCAGTTTCCTATAGCACAAAAGCAAGAAATGACAAAGAGAATGTATGAGATTTGTGAGACATGATGAAATGACATAGAAGAGGGACAAGTTAATTAAGTCAAGAGTACAGAAAATAGCCGAGTGGTGGCGCACGCCTTTAATCCCAGCACTCGGGAGGCAGAGGCAGGCGGATCTCTGTGAGTTCGAGGCCAGCCTGGTCTACAAAGGGAGTTCCGGGACAACCAGGACTGTCTCATGGAGAAACCCTGTCTGGGGGGGGGAGGGGGGAAGGAAGGATGTTTTCTTAGAATCAAATCAAAATACAATATACTAAAACATATGAGACAGAATCCAAGCAGTCCTAAGGGGGACATTGATAGCAGCACAAGTCTACATCTTAAAAATCATTGCTTTGGGGTACAAGAGGGTTCAGTGGTTAATAGCATTTGCTCGTCTAGAGGGCCTTGGCAGTTCACAACCACCTTTAACTCTAGGTCCTGGGAGTCTGACTCCCTCTCTGGCCCCCTTGAGCACCCAAACACACCTGGCTTATATACACAAAGACACACATAAGTAAAAACAATAAAAAAAAAACTTAAAAATCCATTGCTTTGCTTCCATCATTTGGTATCATTGGCATTCTCTAAGATGTTATGTAAACAGGGTCATATATAATTTTCATGTGATTTACCTCCCAAGCACTGGGATTAAAGGCATTAGATACCACTGTTCGGCAACATTCTAATTTTTTAATTAACAAAAAGTCCTTAAATTAAAGTCAGTATGGAATTACGTCGAAAAGAAACTAAAGAACAACAATGTGAAGAAACCTGCCAGCTAAAGGGACTATGCTTATCATTAAGAAAAGAAATATATTTCTAGTAGAGGATATAATGAAAGGACTTGTTGGATTATTTATTGGAAAATAAATATAACTAACTCAGTGGTCTGGACAGTCTCTAATTACCAGTTTCTTTCCCTTCTTCCCTGCTCAGAAAATGTGAGCCAGGTCACTGGGAGTCTAATCCAGCATCTGGATCAGTAACTGAATAGCTTTAAGAAAAATCACACACACTAAAATCACCTCTTGTGGGGGCTGGAGAGATGGCTCAGAGGTGAAGAGCACTGGCCGCTCTCCCAGAGGTCCCGAGTTCAATTCCCAGCAACCATATGGTGGCTCACAACCATCATAATGAGATCTGGTGCCCTCTTCTGGTATGTAGGCAGACATGCAGGAAGAATACTGTATACTTAATACATAAATAAAATCTTAAAAAAAAATCGCCTGTTGTAATGACTGGAGATTCAAAGAAAAGCAGCACTGGTTCATAATCAAGATCAAACTGAAAATTATGTGTGCACTAAGGTCAGAGATGGCACGCCAGGTCTTTAGGGACAAACATTAATGTGATTAAACTATTACCGGATGGTTACCCAGATATCAGGACAGGACAGTTTGTCTGCGCTGTCTAAACTCAGTGTGTGCTCTTAGCATCTCTATTGTCCTCTCAAGACTGAAGCACAGGAGGTGACTTCTGTGCAACCACAACTGCCCAACTCTGTTCTCTGAGACAACTGCAAGGCCCTGTGGCTTCTGTTTAGACTATTTGTAACCGAGAACATCCAAACTCCCAAGACTTCCACTGCAAATGAAAGTAAATTAAATGTATACACTAACAAGGAATGAAAATACATTGTTAGCTGGGCAGTGGTGGCCCAGCTTTTAATCCCAGCACTTGGGAGGCAGAGGCAGGGGGATCTCTGTGAGTTCAAGGCCGGTCTGGTCTACAGAGTGAGTTCTAGGATGGGCTCCAAAGCCACAGAGAAACCCTGTCTCAAAAAACAAAAATAAATAAATAAATAAATAAAAAAGAAAAAGAAGACAAGACAAGGAAATACGTTGTTTACAAAGGGAAACTGAAGTTGAACTCACCTGTCCACTTTTCCCAAACTCTAGCTCTACAATGGCAACAGGGGTGTCTATTTGAGCCGAGTGCCTTGACTGAGACTTGCCGTCAACTCTCCAGCTCAGGCCCCGCAGTCCGTTGTCCCAGCGGCTCTGGTTCAGGAGGCTCTCTCGGATTCTTGTCTTATGGCTCTTCCAAAACTTGGAAATGACTGCAGCTTGATCACAGGTGATGCCACCTTGCTTTTTGGTCTGAGCAGTCAAGAATGCCTCTAACTGGTTGAAATCCATGTCTGCAGATGCAATAGACTATAAAGACAACAGAAAAAGCAATATACATTTGAGCTTGGTAGGTAACTAGACAAAGCTGCCTAACTACAGAGCATGTATCATTGAATATGCTTTCAAAAGGGGCCATTAAGTGACAAGAATGAAAATGAGTGATGATTATAGTACAAATGCAAAACTACTCCCTTTTCAAATACCAGAAATTCTCTACCAATAACAAGAGTATAACTTTAAATATCCAGTTCAGATGGCTGGAGAGATGGCTCAATGGTTAAGGGCACTTGCTGCTCTTGCCAAGGGTTCCCAGTACACAAGGCAACTCACAATCATCTGTAATTCCAGTTCTAGGACATCTGATACCCTCTTCTGACCTCCACAGGCACCAGGAATGAACATGATGAACAAGCACACACTCAGGCAAAATACTCATGCATATAAAATAAATACTTGTAATTTTTTTCATATCCAGCTTCATAGTGGGGAAAGAAAATTATTCTAAATAACAAAACAAAAAAATCAAATTAGTTGTTTCTCTGATAAAATCTTACATAATTTATTGTCATTCGACCTGGATTGACATGCTACTTTGATGCCTTGAGTTGTCCATTAGACAACTAAGTAAATGTTGCTAAATGATTGTTACTGCAGTTTTGCAGCCTATCTCAAACAGCTCAGTATACTACTTTGACACTGTATGCCACCTTATGTCTTACTATATTTTCAAACATTAACTGACAACAAAGCTAGATTCTTCACTCTAGCATTCAAAGAAACACAGTAACATAATGTGCTGGTTTCATAGTCTGTCAAAGTTGACACCATGTAGGGTCATCAGAGAAGAGGGAACCTCAACTGAATTGAGAAAATGCCTCCAGCAGATTAGCCTGTGGGCAAGCCTGTGGAATAGCTTCTTTTTCCTTCCTTCCTTCCTTCCTTCCTTCCTTCCTTCCTTCCTTCCTTCCTTCATTAATTCCTTTCTTTCTCCCCCTCCGACAGGCTTTCTCTGTAGTGCTGGCCATCCTGGAACTTGCTCTGTAGATCAGGCTAGCCTCGAACTCACAGAGATCTGCCTGCCTCTGCCTCCCCCAAAGGCATGAGACATGATGATTGATGACAGATGTGGGTGGGGTGGGCCTGGCCTACTGCGGGCAATTCAACCGCTGGGCAGGTAGGTTGGGGGGGAGAGAGAGAGAGAGAGAGAAGAAAAGGGAAAGAAAAGAGAAAGAAAGCAATTGAGCAGCCAGGAGAAGCCAGTAAGAGACATTTCTCAATGGTCTCTGCTTCAATTCCCGAGTCCAGGCTCCTGCTTTGACTTCCCTCAGTCCACTGATGAAGGACTGGAACCTGTAACACAAATAAACCCTTTTCTCCCTGAGCTACTTCTATCATGTGTTTACCACAGCAACAGAAGCCAAACTAAGACACTAAATGTAAGTGTATGAAATGCAGCCTAAAGTATCTTAAGTTTGCACAGTACTCTACCTGTAAAGAGTTTTCACATCTATTCCTTCTACTGAAACTCATTCCATTGTCAAAGGCAACATGGTAGACAGAAACACTGAGCAGTATTGATCATAGAGAAGCAACTGGCTTCCCATAAAGTTCAATGAACCAGAGTCCTAACTGTTAAGCCATGGTTCTCAGGCATCCTGGCTTATCTAACTAGTTCAGTTTAACAACAAACAGGAACACTAGGAGGAAAAAAATGAGAAGACAATCTAGAGTCAAACTAATGTGCCAAAACTCAAGACATGTTTATACATATACAATAAGGAGTCACAAAAGCAAGGTGCATGGGTAATTATGATGCCAGGCTAAATCTGAACTAGAACAGCCTTCCTTTCCTATGTTTGTCCTCTTCCTTGGCCACAGAGGCTGCTGGTAGGAGCACCAAATCAGACAAATTAGAGTACACTGGAAGTCTAAGTCAATTTCCCATTTCCAGTAGAGGATAAATGGCCTGGCCTTTGGGGGCCACAGGGCCAGAATGACGTGAGACTGGGACTGGGGACAGCCAGTTTCTTTAACTTTAACATTGGAAAGGAGAGCAGGGGTGAGGTCGGTGAAGTCCGCTGAGATGAAAGGTGCTCTCAGTACTGCAGCTCTGCTCTCTAACACTCCCAGGCCCCGGGTCTTGTAGGTCTGCTTTCAACTGTATATGCTATCTCTGCAACCTTCCAGCCGCACCCACCAAAAAACTCCATTACTTTTCCTCTGCTTTGATGAAACACCATGACCAAAAGTAACTTACAGATGGTCAGGAACAATCAAAACCTCTTTTAATTCTATTTCTCTTCATCTCTCTACACTTTTCATAATCCCCCACTCACTGTTCTTCCCGCATATACTGAACCCATTTTATCTCCTAAAACTTGCCACTCTGTCCCCATCCTATAAACCTCTGCCTAGAAAATCCTGACTGCTGTTCCTTCATCCCCACTCTCTGTCACTTAACTCAGGGCTTTCACAGAGATCTCACATTAGCTTGGTATAGTGGTACAGTCCTGTGATCCAAGCACTTGAGATGTTAAGGCAGGAGGATCAGGAGTTCAAGGCCAGCCTGGGCTATATGAGACTCTGTCCTAATAAAACAAAACAAACCTGGGATAAGTGTCTCTTTCTAGATTTTATGATAAATTAGTGATATTTTCTGTTAGTATAGGATAACTGCCAGGTCTACCTAGATCTTGCTGCAAAATGTAAATGCTTTAGAAGTATAAGGACTTAGGAATAGTGGCGCACACCTTTAATCCCAGCACTAGGGAGGCAAGGGTCAGAGATCTCCGAGTTTGAGGCTAGGTCTACAGAGTGAGTTCCAGATAGACAGAACTACACAGAACAACCCTGTCTCAAAAAAGACAAAACAAAAGAGTATAAGGATTCTGTTCCATTTTTTACCATGTAATCCCTGAGGTCTAGCACAGAGACTAGTACAGCAGGTGCCTGTGAGCCATGGAAGACAGCAACAAGATCAAGATCAGGAGACTTTTAGGGCAATAAAACTGTTCTGAGAACTTTAAAGATACATATCTTTATGCATATTAAAACCCATAGAATGATCTGGAGTGGTGTTGCACACCTTTAGTTCCACCCAACACTCAGGAAGCAGAGGCAGGTGGGTCTTTGAGTTTGACACCGGCTTGGTCTACATAGCAAGTTCCAGGCCAGTCAATGCCACACTGTCTCAAAAAACTATCTAAACAAGAAACAAAGAAACAGAAGCATAGGATGAGCCCTAGGCTGTAGATTCAGCGATGTGATGGGCTGGCTCGTCTACTGTAACAAACAGCATTTAGGATGCTAGCCTAGCAGAAAGCTGGGGTGGGGCACGCGGGAACATGGGCAGGGGGCATCTGTGAACTTTTATTCTCTTCTTAGTTTTGCTGTGACTCTAAAACAATCCTAACAAAGTCTGTTTTCAAACACTGAGGACTGGAGATGGCTATTCTTTGCAGAGGACATGGGTTTGGTTCCCAATACCCACATAGCTGTTCACAGTTACCCAGAACTCCAGGGGTCTAAAGCCCTCTCTGACTTCCTTGGGCACCAGGTGTGCACATGTACATATATGCACATACAAGCAGATGAAATAGTCATATACATGAAAATAAAGATTTCTTTAAATATCTTCAAATTGTAAGTGAACTGTGAACTGGAGTTGTGCCTGTAACATAACAAATGCATGGCATACACACAGATGCTGAGTTCAATCCACAGCACCATTCAAAAATGAAAAAAAAAGCAGAAGTAATGCTATGAAAACTTTTTGGCTCATATTTTGGAAAATGCAATGCTTTTCAAGAGGTCTGCTCATGGGGCCAGACACTGACAATACACAGCTTAATGCAGAGTTACTCTCAGTCAGCAACCAAACTGCTGGGCACCTGGAGGGGGTCTTTGGAAGACCCAGGTCCCAGTTAAGCACACATTTTATGGAGAGAACCTTACTGTCTGAGTTTTGCTAAAATTCAAGAGGTAAACAAAGGACTGTCCAGTTTTTGAATAAGTGAAGACCTAAAAGCAAACTCAAGGTAAGGCTACTCTTTTCAGTAAATGGCCTGTCTTTTCATAAGGAATCAAACCAGTCTCTTACATTTCACATTTTATATGTGACGTCAGCTGCCTAAAGTCAGTGCTGACAACAAAACACAGCCAGGCCCCATCAAACACAGCCCTGCATTAACCCTCAGAGACCGCCGAGTCCCACAGGCTTCTGGCTAGGGTAATTCGAGCAGTTTGAGATTCTCGAGGAAAGTGAGTTGGAAGTCCAACAGACTGCCTTCTGCCCTAGCACACACCTGGATCCACGCGCTGCCTTACTACAGTGTGGAAACCGATGCTGCCATCGTCACATAAGTTTCTAGTTTGCACACGAGTCACACTTGGTGTACAGTCGGCAGACGTTGACAAACGCACAGCAACATGCCTCTACCATTACAGCATCCTATAAAATGGTTTCACTGCACTGTCTGATGTCTTCATCTTGCCCACCCACTTCCAAAGTTCCTCTAATAATCAGTTTGCTCTGGTTGATCATTCATACTGTCCTGATTGTCTGTCTGATAGAGCTATTCCTTCCATATAGAAGTACTGAATCTCCAACTTTGAGAAGTGAATTCATCTATGACTTGAAATTTTCAGGTTTCATGTTACTGCTCTGTCTTCAGGCACACACCTTTTGAAAACTGTTATGTTCTCCTAGACAACCGACCCTATTTATCAGCATTGTTACAGGTGGCCCACCAGAGATGACCACTCAGACACACTCTATAGTCAACTGAAAGCAGAATAAAAGTCTTCATTCCAACCAGCTGGGACTACACCTAAGCATTCGGGAACCCAGGAGTAGCCCCAAGTGTCTAAAGCATGGGGTTTTTGAAGGTAGAGACCACATCCTGGCATTTTGCTCAACAGTGGGTGGGGGTGGGGGGACAAGACTTCACAAGAGTAAGCAGTTTAACAGAAACTAAGCTAAGTGGGGCATCTTGACCTTGGGTTCCTAGAACAGAGTTTGGTAATTT